CAAAACACATTCATACGTAGAGACCTGAGGATAAACTAAGCGCTGCATTGTTAAGGGCAGAGTTAAGTGGACTTTAATACCAGTTTTAGGAGCATTTACCTGCTCATAATGGTGATGATGGCTACGACAAAGATAAAGATAATGATAACAAATCGGAATTTAGCAAATAAAAAACACACGCAACGAGCTCATTTTCTTAAAAATAGTGAGATTGGCTTTCAGACTTTAAAAAATCTGCCGCCATTCTTTCGTGTAGAAATCAGAGGAAGTAAATTCCCTGCCATTTTGATGGAAAAGATTATCCTTCCTGGCAATCCAGAAACCAGGAGTGTGTGAAGTAATCCGTGTTTACGCGCCTTGCCAGATACAAAATACTTTTGCAGGTGTGAGTTAAAGCAAAATTAATTTTATTTTCAAAGTTTTTATCGCTGCTGCTACGTTAGGTACAAACTGGCAGGGATGTGCGTCGTTTAAGCGTTCTCTGTGTATTTTTAAGGAGCAGGTTATAACTGAAAATTAGGGTTACAATCCGCGAGCAGGTAACTTTAAACTGGTTTAAATGTACTAAGATAAAATGAATAATGCGATACAAATTGTAACCGTGGATCATTTTTCACGTTAGGATGTGAGAGAGTCTTACATCAGAGGGACGGTGGACGCGAAGAAATGTCTTGTTTTGTTAAATGAAGTAGTAAAATGCGTTTCAAAACTCGTGCCCTCACACTTTAATTGTACGGCTAAACACGAATTTTGGCAAGTGACTTGAGATTTCTAACTTCCTTACGATTTTATAACTTAACATTGCACAGATGCTACTGCTGTCTTTGAATTTTGTTTGACAGATTATTTGTGAATCCATAAGATATATATGTATAGAATATAAAATAATTGACACATGAATTGTTTTGTCTGAAAATCAATTCACTTGTGCAGAGACGCATTGTGATTATTTTTATAGCCTATCCCGCATACAATTAAAAAAATCCACAAATCAAGGAATGTTAATGAATGCTGGAGATGCGTGCAGTTTGGTGTTTTGAAAAGTCTTTGTTACCGAGTTAACTGTAGGCATGCCGACTCTTTGCTTTGAATCGGTGCAAAATGAGAACTATATATTCGTTTGCAGTAAATCAATATTCATACAAGGACGTGATCATTAAACGGTTGCATGCCAAATATCAACAACTAATTCCAAATAGTTACTAAGTTACAAATGTTTAAGCTTGGGCAACACTTTTGGGACGTACTATGCTAGTCTGAACTGTGTGTGTGTGTGTGTGTGTGTGTGTGTGTGCTTGAGTGCGTGCTTGCGTGTGTGCCTGCGTGTGTATGTGTGTGTATGCGTCTGTGAGTCTCTTCCACTGGGTAGACGGGTAAGTAGACTTCATCTAGCTGGAAAACGTTCCTCGATGAGAAATCGTACACGTGCACTATGTTTGAGAAAAAAACCGAAGAACTGACAGTCGGGTATTCAGGTCACGGCAATTCTAACTTCATAGCAAACCGGTCACTCCATAGTTGCCCGGTTCCCGTGCCAACGAAAACCACACAGGATGTCCATCACTGTCTCTTGTGCGGGGGGAAAACATTTAGCACAGACTACAGTCTTAGAAAATTCGACACACTTCATTGAAATGAACAGAGAAAGCAGGCAAGCCAGAGGCTCAATCGCATTGAAGGATGGTTGGGTTTTAATGCCCCCCCCCCCCCCCACCACCAATAATTCTGCTAGTGGGGGTTTAGCTTCATTACATTTCTTAGTATTTCAAATAAATTATACCTATTTTCCATTCACTATATTATTATTTTGCTTTTGAACTAGCATTAGACACTTTGAGCGTCTTTCTTTCTGTATATAAAATAAGCCCGGGTAGGGGAGCGTGTTGAGTCCTCCCCCCCCCTTCCCCCCAGCTCTCCCCTCTCCTGCAGTGTGACAAAGAACAGAAACGAGAAGGTTTTAAAGACTGAAAGAACGCGAGAATGAATACAACTGTTGGTGAAGAGAAATGAAAGACTGGCGGACAGAAACAGGCAGAGCAACAGGTCATTAGTATCAGAGAAATAAAAGCAGTCAGGAAAGAATGAAAAAAACATTGCTAAAGAGAAAGAGAGCCTAATACAAGACATAACATTAAAATAAATAATAAAAAAATAAAAAAAATGAATGACAGAAAATACAAATATCCACAAAGACAATGGAAGAATTGAGAACACTAAAAAAAAAAAAACGCACAGAACATTCAAGCAATGTATAAATAAACTGATGAACCAAACCAAAAAATGGCAGGTAATGGGGGAGTTTATATGAAAATAAGTTTACAAATCCCCTTCAGGTGTCAGACACGGGATCAGGGATCTGGCAGGGTCGTGTATTTAAATCTGTACCTGCCAGGAAGATTTGACCCCATGTTACATCAAACATCGACAGGTACAATAGAATTTCCACATCCAGTACAAGGTGGCGTGTGCGTGTGGGTGTTTGTGTGTGTTTTTTTTTGTGTGTGTGAGTGGGTGGGTGTGTGTGTGTGTGTTTTGTGTGGGTGGGTGGGTGCGTGCGTGCGTGCGTGTGTGCGTGTGTGTGTGTGTGTTTTTTTTTTTTCTCTCCTTTGCTGGAACCTATTTCTCTAGCGCCATCTCAAAATTGGAGGTGTTGCTGCTATAAGGGAACGGTTACATTAGAATGGGTGCGGACACACAGTGTAGGTGTTACAAAGAGCTGTGGTTAAAACACAAAGTGGTGGAAATCTCAGCCCCCACATGTTGTCATCGTATCCAATTTGTAAATACTGGGAAGTTTGAAGTTTGAACAACGGACCAACATCATGGCACACGGGTAGAAGCAACCCATAAGTGCTCCGTTCTTCTTCTAACTCAAGTCCCATGAAGCTCTGCACAGTGCACTGGCTCTGTAGCATCGGCGAGGATCCTGAAACACTGTGGGTAGATTTTTAACTCTAAATTTTGCCCGGGCAGCGCCATTATGTTACTTTTTTCGATTTCCAACTGCCAAGGGATTTTTGACGTGCGCAATAATGCACACCGGCGTCCGATCCACTACACTGAAACCAGGGGGTATTACTAGAAGTCCAAGTCCATGTGAAGAAATCCCAGCCCTTACTGGGATTTGAACCCGGAACCTCTAGCACTTAAGAAGGACACCATGCCTCGAGACCACGCAGACCCATGCAAATACTTGGAAGGCCTGATCAGATGGAAAGAGCGTGACAGAAATATTCGACCTATCCGTGATTCTGGTGATCGTGTGAGATGGCGAAACACGATTTCCTCCGCTGCAAGAATCGTACATGATGATGATGATGATGATGATGATGATGATGAAAGCATGCTCATGAAGGTGGTATCCAGTTGTCTTCGTATACAATGGGTTGAATCAAACCCCAGATCGCAGGTGTTGACAGTCCCCTGAATATTTTGCACACACCATGCAGGCGTGTTTGTGAATGAGACAGCAGATTAGCTGGCTGCACTGGTCACACTTCGGAGTTTACTGCAACTGCATAAGGCAGATGCGATCTAGTTACAGAGATATAGTTACTTAGTTGACAAAAAAAAAAAAAAACCCTAAGTGGTCGGATTTCTCCATTGTAAAACCCACTTTGTGTAGCGGCTGGTGACACTAGTCCTGTATTGATTTATTATTTCTCTTGGGCTTTAAACATAGTGCTCTTGTCTGGCATTGATTTAATATTTTTGTTTGGCTTCAAGCATAGTGCTCTTGTCTGGCATTGATTTAATATTTTTGTTTGGCTTCAAACATAGTGCTTTTGTCTGGCATTGATTTACTATTTTTGTTTGGCTTCAAGCATAGTGCTCTTGTCTGGCATTGATTTAATATTTTTGTTTGGCTTCAAGCATAGTGCTCTTGTCTGGCATTGATTTAATATTTTTGTTTGGCTTCAAGCATAGTGCTCTTGTCTGGCATTGATTTAATATTTTTGTTTGGCTTCAATCATAGTGCTCTTGTCTGGCATTGATTTAATATTTTTGATGGCTTCAAGCATAGTGCTCTTGTCTGGTATTGATTTAATATTTTTTTTCTTCTTTGGCTTCAAGCATAGTGCTCTTGTCTGGCATTGATTTAATATTTTTTTTCTTCTTTGGCTTCAAGCATAGTGCTCTTGTCTGGCATTGATTTAATATTTTTTTTGGCTTCCTGCATAGTGCTCTTGTCTGGCATTAATTTCTTCTTCTTCTTTGGCTTCAAACATAGTGCTCTTATGAAGCATTGATTTCTTCTTCTTCTTTTGCTTTCTGCATAGTGCTCTTGTCTGGCTTTGATTTCTTCTTCTTCTTTTGTTTTCTACATAGTGTCTGCTCTATTGCTCTTGTCTGCCCCACCACTTTTCATGCGATGTTCTTGCAGTGTAGTCATGGTTGCAAATGCAGTCATCACTTGGTTCTCACAAATGTCTTACTTCTCGTAGAGACAGACAAATCTGATAGACAAACATGTAGTCTGGTGTGACACACAGGCATATGTTATGGAGAGACGGTCAGATTACCTGTATAAGAGACACCTGTGTGGATGCGACAGTCAAACTACCTGATGTGAATGCGACGGTCAGATTACCTGTATAAGAGACACCTATGCGGACGCGACGGTCAGATTACCTGTTAAGAGACACCAGTGTGGACGCGACGGTTAGATTACCTGTATAAGAGACACCTATGTGGACGCGACGGTTAGATTACCTGTGTAAGAGACACCAGTGTGGACGCGACGGTCAGATTATCTGTATAAGAGACACCTTTCTGGACGCGACGTTCAGATTACCTGTATAAAAGACACCTGTGTGAAGGCGACGGCCGTATTACCTGTATAAGAGAAACCTGTGTGAAGGCGACGGTCAGATTACCTGTATAAAAGACACATGTTTGAAGGCAATGGTCAGATTACCTGTATAAAAGACACCTGTGTGAAGGGGACGGCCCTATTACCTGTATAAGAGAAACCTGTGTGAAGGCGACGGTCCTATTACCTGTATAAGAGACACCTGTGTGGACGCGATCCTTCTGGCACTGAGGTTCCTGATCTCCGCATAGACAGGGATGGCTTCCTTGATGGTGTAACCCTTGCGATCCAGCTTTAGCACGGCGGTGACGGTGCCGGACATGCAGCACCACGTACCCACGGCTTCAAACGTGTCGTTCTCCACGGGCAGCTACAGGTAGGAGAGAGGACGAGATAAACCTCCATGGTAATGATGATGATTATGCTATAATGATGGTGGCGATGCTGATGATGGCATGAAGATGGTTATGATGATGCTATGATGATGATAATGATGAAAATAATAATGACCATGATGTCCAAGATATAAGGCAATCAGATAATCACAGTTCTCGCTTTACAACAAACGGGTCATCCCAAAGTTGCTCCATTCTTGTGCTAACGAAAAGGACACAGAATGTCCGTCACTGTCTGTCTACTATATTTCTCTGCTTGGTTCTGTTAGACATTAAACAAGTGAACTGTCACCAAAAAGCTGAACGAAACAAGGAAGCAGAACAACGTGCACAAAACACACAACTCGACATTTCGGCAGGGGCCTTTCTCGACATGAACTAAACTACACAACAATAACAAAGGGGGGAGAACTTCAATCAGCAACGCCCACTAGTGGGTCACGTGAGAAACTACGAAAATGCGATGTGGAAAGAATAAAACAAAATAAAATAAAGGAAGGCTCGAAAAATGGTCATAAAAGTAATAGTAATCATATATAATAATAGTAGGAATAAAAGAGCAGTAGAAATAAAATAGAAACAAAAATGATTGTGATCCCTAACTGGTACTGATGAGAAATAGGAAAAAAAAATAATATGAAATAAAATACAATCCACAACTTATTGCTTGTTAGTTTGCTGCTTGTTGATATTGTTGAGTTTCAGCAATTTGTTAGCTCCATCTATTCCTTGCACGACTAAAGTTGAACCAAAGATAGTGAACTACTTGCCAACAAAGCTGTCCCACCATACAAGAAAAAGCTGACAGGTAGATCACATTACAAGTATGTCATTCACTAAAAACAGTTGTCAAGATATTTGTCAGCTGTAAGGAAAAAAGGGGGCGGGGGGGGGGCGACGTTGACCAGCTGTAGGAAAAAGGGGTAATAGAAACGTTAGCCCCCCCCCCCCCACTCTCCCCCACAGACCGCCCATATACACACTAGCTTACTTCTGATTGGTCGACCTTGAGCAACCCAACCTTGGCACTAGGTGACGGGTGTGTTCCACAGTGCCGATTATATCGCGTCTTCTGTATTTCACCATTCCAGCACCTTTATCACTACAAAAACATAGACAAACTGGGTCTAACGCACAATCCCTTGTTTGTTTGTTTGTTTTAGTATCCAGAAGCCATGAGTTGTTAACCCTTAGGCTCGGTATTATGGATATCGCAACCTTTCGGCCTTGATTCCATTGTAAATACCGTAAATCTGGGAGAAATGTGGCTTTTCTGCCTACCCCCGGGAGTGAACCCGGACCACTAGGAGTTCGTCACCCGGTCACCGCGCAATCCGGTTTAGCCAACTACGCTAAAGAGCCGGGCATCACAATCCCTTAAGAGAGTAATCA